TGAAAAGAACTTATTGCAAAAAATATTACTCAGCCAGGATATTTTTAACGAACGAACATTTAATCGGCGCGCAGTTTAACGGCTGTACATGGAGTTCAGAAAAATTCATATAGAATTTATTAGGCATCTAATTGTAAGATCTAGCCATGACTGCGAAAAGGCGCTCTCGAATTAGTTAGTTGTGTTATTCACATAGGCAGTCTTATTCAAATTATAATTATTATACTATAATATTTTTATTTTAGCAATTTAATCTTTATATACATATATTATTAATTTATAAGTAAAATTATTATTAAGAATTATTAATATAAAGAATCCAATTTATTCTTTTTATAAGATTAACTTTTAAGACATTTTAATAATAAAATTTATATTACTTAATTAAGTTGCCAATGATTACTTTTGTGTACATGATAATGAGAGATTTTTTATCTTTAAAACTCATTCATTCATAAATAATGTAAACTTCGTCAATTACATTTTACATTTTGAACAATAAAATTTTTTTTTGTATGTTTTTATGTTAAGATTCTTTCATGGGTGTCCAGTTGGAACCATATAAAAACCATCTATTTGTTAAAACAGTTAAGAGGTATATGATATCTTTTTTCCACATTCTAAATACTTGCAATTGCGATATAAATTATTTATTAATTTAATTATCAATAAGGATAAATCTTTTAAATTTGGGAACAATGTTTTTATATTTTTCTAATAAATTATACTGTGCCAAGAAAATTTATGTAAAATATATTTAAAATTAAGTTCTTGTTAAGTAAATTAACAAATTACACTGTAACATAGAACGACATCTTTAATAAATTTCTCTATGCCTGTAAAATTAAAAAAATTTATTATATAATTAAATTAATACAATATAACAATAAAATATCTTTATTACAATAAATTCCACTTGAAAAGTTTAATAATATTTAAAGTTTAATAATAAAATATGCTTTTATAATCATGTCTTATATATAAACAATTCGATTTTAAATAAAAAATGTTTCAGGTTAGAAAATTATCTTTTACATAGAGGAATGAATATGCATCTATATTATTTTGATATTATATTTAATCTTTCTGCTATGGGACGCAAACAAAACAAGAAAATAAATTTGATATATTCTCTTGTAGATGAGGTATAATATATTATAATAATTCATATTATGTTATTTAACGTGTACGTTATATAATCTATTATTAAACAGATGATACAGCAGCGCGAAGATGAATTATTAAATAATGTGAATACAACTAAGGATGGACAGAAGCGAACTCGTAAGTTGTCAACATTTTATACAAAATTATAATAGATTCTTTTAAAAACCCAACGTTTATACAATGGCAACAAAATAAATTGTTATAGCTATAATCAAAATAGTATTGGCTACTTTCAATTTGGTGATACAAGTCGATACAAATGTTGTTTTTTTTTGTTACTCATTGTATACTAAAAAGGACAGAATAGAGTATTGACTTGTATTACTAATTGGAAAGCATTCAGTTAAAATATTTTAAACGTTTTACTTTTAAGAAATAATATTCTAAAAAGTTCTCTTTTATGTTTATTTCAAATTTTCACATAAAAAATATGTTTAAATTTAAATTAAAGTTTGCCAGCACTATATTAAATATATATATATATATATATATTATATAGGTATATATATACATATAGGTATATATACATGCATACATACATATTGTCAAATCATATATGGGGCATTCTCTTTAACAAGAACTTAATTTTAAATACATTGTACAAAAATTTTCTTGGCACAGTATAATTTATTAGA